CTTTACCAGGCTTGTTGAGTGTGTTTCTTTTTCTTTTTTTTTTTTTTTTTTGCTTCTGCTCTTCGCCTGGACCCTAGCACGTCAGGAGCAGTCAGGCAGAAACAACACTAATTCAGAAAGTCTGGTTGCCAGACGTTCTGCCGGAAACAGAAAGGCGAAAAGGATTGTGTGTTGAGAGGGCGAGCTGGACATGGCGAGGGCCTGTTATCCTGGCATGCAGGGGAAATAATCAGGATCTCTTGAGTCCAAAAAAATCAGAATAGAAAGCAGCCTTCAATTTTTTTTTTTTAAGCGCTCCCTTTCCTCTGGTTTCCAGAGTTTGTGAGCTTGCTTTAGATGGAAATGTCACAGTGAAGGGAGTGTTCTCCTACAATATCTTTTTTCTCTCCACTCTCAGATAAAACGATTTCCATGCAAGGATTCCTTTAAGCTCTAGACAAATGTTAAGGATAATTTCTATTTGGTTCCACACCTTTTATTCATCTCTTCCTTTTAATCTTCCCCCTTCCCCATCCATGACTATTTGCTTCCTTTAAAAAAATGAAGAAACCACACTCCTATTATGACGAACACTAGAATAGCTCCCAGACCTATTCTTGGATTGATATATAAAGAATTTACTCACCACTCCCTTCAGGATTAAGGCGCATTAACCTTTGGAACACAGTCTTTATATGCATGTCAGGGTATTTTTAAGAATGGGAAAACCCGGGATACAGATAAACAACAAGGGTTCCAAACTGGAGTTATTTTTAGACCTGAGATTCCGAAGTATATAAAGCTACAGATACCAAAATGGTCTCATCCTAGAGGACGTGTCCCCTATGTCACCTTCACAGATCGCTCTCCCCTTGGTCTGGTGCATTTATGGGCGCACACACACACACACACACACACACACACACATACACACACACACACACACCTCACACGTCCTTATTGATCATAACCCAACTATGATGAGGAGTAGAAATATCAAACTGCTTCCTGCAGATAAATGACCATTCCTGCTAAGGCTTTCTCCCAAAACTTCTCTTAAAAATGCTGGAGTGGTTGCAGGTTTTTTCTGTGCGCGTTTCCATGCTAGTTATTGCTCCAAAGCAGCCTTGAACTCTGGAGGGTGGGATGGGAAAATGTCATGGATGTTATCCTTCCTGTAGTTACTACCAACAACCAGCCTCGGAAAAATGGACAGAGAAGCCATTGAAAAGAATGGAAAAAGCGTCCTTACGTGAGAGGGCATGTAAAATTCGCAATGGAAAAGAAAGTTAGTAACCCTTTGAAAGTGTAACTCATTCATGCTGATGAGAGCACTCTTTTCAGGGGGCAAGCAGAATGACATGCTTGTTCCCAAACTGTGACTCGGTCTAAAATATGGCGTGCAACTTTAACGGAGCGTTTGTTCTCCACTAATCTAGGACACATGTCACCCACTAAAGGACTAATGGGATCTAAGGACAAGGGGAACGCTTTGCCCTGTTCTTCAGGAAACAAAAGCAGCTGGATGGGTCCAGCACCTGGAGAGAATCGATTGCTCTAGTTGGTCTTACTCAAATTGTCGGAGTCTGTGTTTATGTTCCAGGAAAAGGAGTATCATGATGCTAAAGATTTTTAAAATCTTAGTCCAGTGGGTGGGAGAGGTGAGTGAGTAGAAATATAGATGAACAGCTATCGCTGGATAGAGGGTACCTGAGGGTTTGTTGTGCTATTCGTGCTACTTTTGTGTGTATTTGAAATTTTCTGAAATACAAAGCTTTTTGAAATTGTATGTAGCCATTCCTGCCTTTTCATATCAACTCTTTGAGTGGCTCTTTCCAAAAAGCAACATTTTCCCAGTTTAATTCACAGGTAAAGCTCGCGACCTAGTGTGGAGCAGGGGGCAGGGAGGCCACCGTGGAGCAGTGTAAACAGGGAAACACCCAGCGGCCCAAATTATGGCTTCACCATTTACTAACAGAGATTTTAGGCAAAATTACTTGATCCCTTTGTACTCACTAATTTCACATGTAAATTGGAGAGAATACTTGATCACAGAGTTGTTGCGAAGGTTAAAGAAGGGAATATATCTAAAGAGGTCCTGACACAATATAGGTGGGTAATAAGTGTTCATTTTACTTTTTAACAAAACCGTTGATGGAATGCAAGATGCTGAGTTTATTTCAAAGTCCAAAAGAAACAGAACAAGTGTTCACTGAGGCATGTTTTTGACTTACAGATATTAAGCACTTTTTGTATGATTTGAACTGCTGGGCACAAACAGAATAATATGTGATCATTGCTTTAGAGGTTTCCATAATCTAGTGGTAGGCAGATATATACATTTATGCAACCAGTTGGGGGAAGGCCAAAATATGCAGAACTTGGGGAGCTTGAGTGAGCTCAGCCCAGAAGGGGTCATTGAGTGGTTCATCGGGCCCTCGATTGGTAGGTCAGCATCCTACTGACCACTGAGCCCTGCTCCACAGCTTCCCAGGGGATCCATCCAAGCTCCCAGCCAATCCAGTGCCTCCCCAACCACATCCTAGTTAGCCAACAGCGAGCCATGAAACGGAGCACGCACAGTGGAAGAAAACCAGAAATAATAACCTCTGCATTTCCTCTCGTGTAAGGACGGTGCATCTGAACTGGTAATAAACAGAGAACAGAACTGTTGGAAGGGACATAGCAGATCAGGGGGTCCAGTTTGAGGGGCTGAAATGGGAGCACTTGAGTACTTGAGAGGTTGTTTATTGCTAGTGGGGGGCCAGTTGCAGAACCCCGAGGGCATCAGAAAAGGCAGCCTCTTACAGGCTCTGCTTTTGGTCAGAGGACAAAGAAGACTTGAAAACAGAACAGGGAGAAGTAGCCGGGGTGGTGGTGCACAGAAAGAGGCCATCTCCAAGTACTATAAATACCGCTCTAAAATGTGACCATAACTTAATGAGCCTCTTTGAGGAAACATTTGGTAGTGAGTCATCTCCAAAGTATGTAGGAAGCTGAACACCCTGCTGTGACTCTGTGAAGCTCCTCAGTTGCCTTTTATTGGGTCTGGTTTGGGACTCCCAGTTCTGTGAGAAGGAAGGACCCGTGCCATGTGCAGACAAGGGCACCTTTGCTGCCACGCGCTCACCAATGGCAGTTGCTCCTGTCTAGCCCAGGGGACTTCCAGGAGAAGACGGGAGAGAGTCAGAAACCTGGATGACACCGATCCACTTTTAGGAAGAGAAGGCAGGGGCTCATTGTAATGAATAAAACATTTTCAGAACGAGGCCCTTTCCAGATGCCAGGCAACAGGTAGACACTGAGAAATAGACCCATGGATCAATACGGGGGACTTGGGGAGACTGGACCTCATCCCCAAACATCCTAGAGCCACTGTCCTCTGGGGTCATTGCTGCAGTGTGGGCCAAGCTGCCGTTTTGGCCACCTGCCTAAGTAAGCGCCACACAATTTCCCCTTCAGGTCTCGTGCCCTCTGCCTCATGGCTCTTCAGGGAGTCAGCAACAGAAATCAAGGGCCCACGCTGGACACCAACCCAAGCAAAACTGGTACATTTCCTTACAAAAAAATGAGAGCCTTTCAGGTTGTATTTCATTCTTACCGAACTCTATGAAACATTTACGTGGCACGTACTAGCTTTAGGTTGTTGATGTTGTTTGACGATTTTGCCTTTTGAATGAAAATTAGCTCTCAGTATAATAGTAACATTGTAACCACAGAACCAGCTCAAACTAGTTCTAGCTAGTTTAATGAAATACTGATTTGCTTTTCAGAAACAACAGACCCAAACCACAAGTCATGCAGCAAAAGCGTGAGCAGAGGAGAGGACTTTGACCCCCAGCTGCACCTGGAGCCAAAGTCTCACCTACACACACGCGCGCACACACACACACACATGTATGCGCTCATGCACACACAGAACCAACGGCCCAGGACATAACCAAAACTTGAACACCGGAACCCTTTCAGAAGCCAAGGGTCCATTGTCCAGGAAGGTCCCGGGTTGACGCCCTTTTACCATAAATAGCCAAGCTCCAAGGTCCTCTATGTAAAACTTACCCCACCAGTGTTTCTGCATATCTGTTCCTCAAGCCCCTGAAAACCCTTAATCTAATCCAGCGAGTGAGATGAATCTGAGGCACCACTGGGTCCCCCATCTTCTCACTGGGCGCCTCCTCCATCCATACACCTTTGCTTACTCCAAACTCTGACCATTTGAATTTGGACCTTTCAAAGCACCAGACACACAAATCAGAGATTGCTAACAATATATACTTACTGTTGGGCTGTCGGAAAAGTCGTGACGTATTTTTTTCTACATAGTTTTTTGTTGCAAAAATGTACCATGATGTTTCCGACAACCCCGTATGTGAAGATTATAAGGTAAAAAAATAAAAAAACTAAAGATAAGAACTATGATTAAGGACTATAATAGAATCAATCTCATAGGGGTCGTTGGAAAAACTAATCTCCAGAAAGGGCGTGTTGCAGCAGCAAGAGAGCTAACAGGTAGGGATTCAGTAGTAAGGAGCATAGCAGGAGGGGGAAATTCAACCTGGCAACCTAAGCGAAGGACTCGCCTGGGACTGATTTTACCATTCAGCTCTGAGCTCGCTGGCAGCCGGAGTAAAAATCAATAATTGATGCACTGGACTCTCTCATAATCTCTTCAAAGAAAGCTTGCTGTTACACCCAGAAAGATGTATAGTCTATTCGCAGTTGTCTATAAGAGGAGTTATTGTATAGTCTTTTATATATGGGGCCATAAAAAAACATAATTAGTAAGGGTTATATCTTATATTTTTACCCAAAACACAAATGTGTCTCATCTTCCCTTGGTGCTCTCCAAGTACTTAATCGTTGGCTGTGAACATTGAGTCCTATTTGTAAAAACAAACTCCAACCATCCCCGCATACAATAAATTGTCCTTGATTTGGTAGCACCTACTTGCTTTATCATAAGTCTGTGTGGTTTTATTTTACTGCTATACATAATTCCTACTTACACTGTCTCTTGATAGGAATGCTAAAACACAAAATCCACCTGAGTACATTGTAAAGCTTTATTCAGCAACTCGTGAATTGGGCAACAAAAGGAAAGGAGCTCCGAAGAGGTACACAATTGGAGAGCATTTTGTAGACCCCAGTGAGCAGAAACAAGGAAGTTTTCTTGGGCCAAAGCAGATTGGTTATTGCAAGGTGAGTGTCCTGATAGGGGAAAGGAAAGTCTTGGGACCCTGTCAGGTAACTTGTGCTGAGCAGACAAGCATGACGGTTGAACTGGGCCTGCCTTCCCTCGGAGAGCTAAGCACGGAAACTTAGTTTAAGTTTTGGTTTGCTGACACGGGGCTGAGCAGGAGGGATTCCATCTTGGGCCCAATCTGGTTACTTTAACAGATGTTATGAATTCATTGCCCTTTAGAAGAGAACATCAATGTAAAAATCATGCCAACATCATATGTTGATTATGGTATCAGCAACAGTAACTCTTTACAAAGCTTAAAAAAATAAATGAGAGGCAAGATTGCATTGAGCTTAGTAAACAGACTTGAAGAATAATTTAAAGCACTTCATAAGCTGTGTGCATATCAAACACTGACAACAATTAAAATGTGCTCTTCTGTGTCTTATCTGTATTATACTCGTATTAAGTCCCCCAAAGCTTCTATCATATAACACTTTCTTTATCCTAAAGTCACTGCACTTTGAATACTTGAAAACATGAATGTTGCATTTTAAGTGATATCTCACATTTAGAGTTTCTGTTAATTCAAATGACTCCATTAATAAATTCCAATAATTAAAGGTGCATACTCGTAGATATTGAGAGGATAAAAATAGGTCAGTGATCAGAATCAGACCCCTGAACTATCCATGGAACAGGCTTCCTTTTTGAATAGCTAGTTTATGGTGCAAAAGATCATAGAAACCTCCAGGTAGCATTTTCTTTGTGAGACTTGTCGAGTAAGAGTTAACAGGGTTTGTAGTTAAGAAATGATGTCACAAGCTTTCCAAGAGTGATTATTGTCTACTCCAGAGTTTGTGCCACTTAGCAGTGTATCTGATGACAGCCATGGTCACCATCGTGCAGGTGGGAGCAGGGAGGTCCTTTTTGCAGCACCTGCTGTGCACATACATGGTGGGACGGCTGCTTTCAGGTGACTGCGACATCCCTGGAGGGAGCTTCAAGTTTTAAACTACTCTCCAGACACGCTCACAAATGAGCTTGCAGGTTCAGCCTCAGGTGGGTCACGTCCAAGTACTGCCCACCACTGCTGGCCGCATTACGTAGCACCCAGCACAGCCAGCCTTGGGGAACATTTAGGCAGGAGAAATAGGGAGATAGTAAGCAGCCCAGAAGACAAGTTGATGAAGAAATTTCGACTTTAGGGTTCCATGCATGACTCCAATCGGTTCCCTTGATTGGTAAAGTTTTCCTTTGTGGGTTTTCTTTCTGGTCCATTGAGGACTTGACCAACAACCCATGGAATGTGTCAGCTCTAATTGCCTGTGTGGATTGGCACAAGCCATGTCTCAAAATTGGAAGGTTGTCACATATAACATAGTCCTGCAGAGGGATAAATGTGGCCTGGAAAATGTTCTATCCAAACATTCCTTAAAAGCAATTGTGTTCTGCTGTGGTAAGGGGCAGACACCCTTTATAGGACCAGCTGAGCAAATTCCCAGAGCGCCTAAGTTTCAACACGTGTCAAGACACTGCTGCCTCTCCCTGCCCCTAAAAGAGCAGATGTCTTCTTCCCTCCGAGGACATCAGACAATGGCCAATTGCACCCTGGGGGTACTCTGGCACAGTCATAGCCAGGGCAGCTTTCCAAAAGAAGTGGGTAATTGGAGAGTTGTGAAGACAGACGAGGGATCTGTGGACCTGGGCTTGCTTTGGGGTGAGCCTCCTAATTGATGAGCGACTTACACAAGTGTTGCCTGATGGGCAGGTAATAGCTGTCAAGCAAGCCATGTTGAAACAGGTTTTAACAAAGCATGGAAGCTGTTGTGGCGCGGGGTGGGAGTGGAGAGGGGGTGGAGATTTAGCCCTGAGAACGATGCCATGAAATGAAGATATAGCATTTGGGAAGATGCAAATTTATTGAGCATATATGATGTGCCAACCCCCATGAGTTGTCATTTTTTACCAGTTTTTTCTCAGGACTCCAAGGATTGAGCACTCCCATTCTCATGCAGGGTCTGTTTTCTTTATAAATAAATCATGGCAACCTGGTTTTTGCGAACCAATTAGCAGTAAATATTGAGCCCCACAGACAAATCAGTTCTTTGCTTATTCACTCCACTTCCCTCTGCACCCAGCAGACAGGTGCTAAGGGAGAAAAACAGATGTTTAAACCACATACTAGAACACTTTTGTGGAAAACATCCATTTCATGTGCCATGAAGTCAGATAATGTTCCTCTTGACTCAGAAACAGTCCTCATTAAAGGAGTCTACGCAGACTCCGAAGTGTTACTGGGAAAAACAGAAACAAAAAACAAAAACTAGTTACTTTGGCTACCTAAAACTAATCAACTGTTTGGCAGATTTAATTTGGGGTGGGGGGGGAATAGCAAAACTGAGTTGCTCCTCTTATCACGAGAGATTAAGCTGATTGGAAACTAATAGCAAAGCCAGAACTCTATATCAGCTGGGGACAGACAAGAAAGCCATGCCACCAGGGAAGGACTCTTGAAGAGAAACTCTCAAGAAAGTTCCCATAGACAAGTGGAGGCCCACAGGAAATGTCTAGTTGGGATGACAGATCACAGACCACCCCACTTACCAAACTTCCATTTCAACCTCCTGCAGCCATCCTCGTGTGAAGAAACAATTCTCCTGTGCATCCTGGGATTCATCTGTTTTGAGAAATGACAAACTGTGGTCTTCTAAACATTTTATGTTTGATTTTTGACATTTTCCCAAGGGACCCAGCCCTGCCCTCACCATGCAATGGAGTGGAGATAAAGACGCTTCTTTTTTCAGAGACAGACGACGTTGCTTTTGGAGATCTAGATACACAAGTATCTCCTAGGAGAGAGTGAAGCCAAGACAGTCAATGTCCCTGGAGATGCGTGAGTCTGTTACCACATGACATTATTGATACTCATTTTCTGATTGAGAGTCTTTCAAATATTTGTTGTGTCTGTAAACTCTTTCTCATTGGAATGGTCCTATTTTTGTGAACATTTGCTCACAAATTTATATCCATTTGTTTAGACAGTAATTGAGAAAGGCTGGCATTGGACTGTATCAGATTTATCTGGGGGAATTTTTTTTCCCTATAAAATCCCTTTCCCATCTCCAAAAATGACCGTATTCAGTAGGTCCGGGGTGGAAATAGTAATCTAATTTTAAAAAATTATCCAGGTGACTCTGTAGTGTAGCCTGCCTTAGGACCACTGAGGACAGGTAGAAGACCCATCCGGATGGTAGTGTGAGAGCTCTGCTCCATCCTACAACTGCAGATTTTTCAAAATGTCTTACAAAGGAGACTGGGTAATAGAGTTGGTCTAACTGGCCCAGATCTTGCTCTTATTTTTGGCAAAAATATCTAGCCATTAGCATATTGGTAAAGTTTATTTTGTACATAGTTTATTCTTCTGTGAACTTCCCCAGGAATAGTCATTATGCTCAGTACTTCTGAGTTAAATTATTATGGGTTGAACTCTGTTTCCCCCCCAAAAAAAGATAGGTTGGGGTCTTAGCTTCCAGGACCTCAGCACATGAACTTATTCAGATATAGAGGGTCTTCACAGAAGTAATTAACTGAAAATGAGGTCATTAGGATGGGCCCTAATCTAATATGATGGGTGTACTTGTTACAAGGGAAAATTTGGACTCAGGAGGAGACATGCGTAGAGGGCAGAGATTATGAAGAGATTCAGGGAGAAGATGGCATCTGTAAACCAAGGAGGAAGGCCCAGAATGGACCTTTCCTTCACAACAGTCAGAGGGAACCAACCTGCCCACACCTTCATTTTGAAATTCTAGCTTCCGGAACTGTGAGACAATAAATTTATGTCGTTAAGCCACCCAGTCTGTGGTGCTTTGTTACAGCCGCCCTAGTAAACTAATACATAAACACTAGTCAATATTTGGGGGCCCTGCCTGCATCTACCTTCCTAATGAACCTAACTTTTGTCCTGTGTAATTATGTTTCCCGAGTGTAAGCAGTCTTGCTGGGAGGATTACTTGCTACAGCTACTCCCACCACAGAGCCAAGAGAAGTCGATGCTTCCTCTAACATCACATGTTCTAGCAAAAGGAATTGGCACATGACCTAAACCCAGCCAACTGGATGCTTTCTTCTGGAACTTTCCAACTGGAATGAGGGAGGCACAGATGGAGGAAACATTAGGAAGACATCCTCTGAACGTACGCAGCCACAGTGGTGGCTGGCTCGGCAGAGTCTCCACTGGCTCTTCCTGCAGAAGAAGCTTGACGCCCCCGCCTGCCTCAGTGCCCTCCATGGCTTCCTTCATCCAAGCCAATCCCCTGGATCCTGTTGCCTTTGTGAGCCTCATACAAAATGATTGGTAGCCAATCACTTTGACCTACAAAAGAAACAATTTCCTAGGGTTCAACCTAATAATCTTGCCAGAATCATTTTCTGTTGTTACTAAGAACCCGGCTATATTTCCAGAGCAGCTCATGCATGTATTATTATGATCCACTAGTGTCATTTCCATGTGTCCATCTTCCCAGCATCACTGTACCCCCAGTACCTGTGGAGTGTTTGTCATAGGGTAGGTGCTCAGTCAATAGTTGATGAATTCATTGCTTTCGACTTCCAAGTTGTATTTGTTATTTACGTGTGTATCTTAGAAGACTGTGAGAACCTTGTGGCCAGAAATTGTGGATTTCTCATCTCTGAATGGCCAGCAATTTCTAGTGGGTGGAGCAAACAGAAAACTGATAGAGCTGAGTGGTTCCTGGTAATATAAAGAGTTGCTGAATGACTGTACTCTCTCTCTCTCTCT